TGCTCAATATAGTTGGCTTACTGACAGTACAGATCAACATGGTTGGCTCATTGACAGTACTGATCAACCATGGTTGGCTCATTGACAGTACTGATCAACATGGTTGGCTTATAAGACAGTACTGCTCAACATCTTTGGCTTACTGACAGTACAGATCAACATGGTTGGCTCATTGACTACTGATCAACATGGTTGGCTCATTGACAGTACTGATCAACATGGTTGGCTAATAGACAGTACTGATCAACATGGTTGGCTCTTTGACAATACTGATCAACATGGTTGGCTCATTGACAGTACTGATCAATATGGTTGGCTAATTGACAGTACTGATCAACATGGTTGGCTAATTGACAGTACTGATCAACATGGTTGGCTTATATACAGTACTGATCAACATGGTTGGCTCTTTGACAATACTGATCAACATGGTTGGCTAATTGACAAGTACTGATCAACATGGTTGGCTCTTTGACAGTACTGATCAACATGGTTGGCTCTTTGACAATACTGATCAACATGGTTGGCTCATTGACAGTACTGATCAATATGGTTGGCTAATTGATAGTACTGATCAACATGGTTGGCTTATATACAGTACTGATCAACATGGTTGGCTCTTTGACAATACTGATCAACATGGTTGGCTCTTTGACAGTACTGATCAACATAGTTGGCTTACTGACAGTACTGATCAACATGGTTGGCTCTTTGACAATACTGATCAACATGGGTGGTTCATTGACAGCACTTATCAACATGGTTGGCTTACTGGCAGTACTGATCAACATGGTTGGCTTATAAACAGTGCCGATCAACATGGTTGTCTCATTGACAGTACTGATCAACGTGGTTGGCTCATTGACAGTACTGATCAACATGGTTGGCTCATTGACAGTACTGATCAACATGGTTGATTTAATTGATTTATACATTTATAATTATTTATACTTATGATAGCCCCATTTTAGAACTACGTCCAAGTTTATACAATCAATCAAATAATTGATATGGATACCAAACATTAAATTTCATGACATAGATGAACTAGTTTCAAGAAAATATATAGGTAGCTTGCATATGCCAAGCAATCCAATCTTGGCTTGTTTCATACCTTATCATCTACAATAGCTGCCAAAGGCATTGCATCAAAGCAATCATTCACAGTTTCCCACACTTGACTACCAAGAGTTGTTCCAAATTTATCTTCACATTCCCTGAAAAAATTATAATACAAACATTATTCGCATTTGTTTTGGATGCACTAAATAAAGGACTGTACAATTTGTGTACACAATGCTGCTATAAAGATGTATAATGTTTTCATGTTTGTAACTTTAGATGTATGAAATAAATAGTACGTGTCACCGAATGCAATAAACACAGTACATGGAAAATATCCAGGTCAGAATTATTTTGCAAATAGCTAAACATTACCAAGCATTTATTACATAGTTTTGATTAAGATTCACACACAAGATTCTTCAAGATAATAAATATTAATCAATATATAAATTCTATCACCCATATGAGTGTTTGTGTTGAACACCTGTTCTCCTGTACAGAAGCTGGAACAGACAGACGCTTTATATATCAATAACACATAAATACATGCTTGGAAAATCCATTCAGAGGACAACATGAGAAAATATTGACTCACCTCTGAAAGTTGAACATCCTTTGCACAGATCTCACTTCATGGTTGCCACGTATGAGAAAGAACTTCAAAGGTGCAAGGAGCTTCTGAGCAAGAAGGTATGAGACAACCTAAGAAACAAAAACAAATTTGACAGGACCTTACTTGTGTATGTGCAATTTAAAAGAATACAAATTTAAAATTTGTTTGAGTACATTGAATCGAATACATATTTTTTTATTTAAATTAAATCAGGTGTCCAAATTACTAGAATTTGCTACTTAATTGTTTTTAAAACTCTAAGTACATGAGAAAGCCAATCTGTGTCAACACAAAATGAGGATGCAAAAGTAGTTAAAAGGAAGCAGAGGTCTGGCTTTTGTTACTCCGTACATGAAAATTGAGGTCTATGATTGAATTCTGGCTATAATAACAACTTGTATGTGCTGGTGAAAGAACTGAATATAGGATGTGAAACATGTTGTGGACGACAAACGTTCTCTTTTCATGGCTGCCATTTCGTCTTTAGGTATGATTGTTTTATTTGTAAAGTACATCGGTGTAATTTCTAAGTTTTGATTGTTGACTTTGCGATGTGTTCATGATTTGTATAATTATTGTAGTTTTCCGCAAGAAGAAAACATTGAAAGTCATGGAATTAAAGAGCTCTGTGGTAACCGAGTATTCACCTAACCACTACCGTAATGATCCACACAGGAAAACGGCAATTAACATGTTAAACTCAGGTTTATTCTGTGGAACTGCAAACTACAACTTAGCAAGCTTTGCCGCCATTACAAACTCAAAAATGGTCATGTGACCACTAACAAAAGAACATCTAGCGTACTAAATATAGATACAGAGTTATCACAAGCTCCATGCATGGACTGAGTAAAAGAAAATATTTCTAACCCCAACATAAAACGTGTATTTGTTGATTTTGCGTATGTCTGATATTACAGTATGTTTGTAAATATCTAGTCATTTGATAATAATTTTGATAGTTTTAAATGCCTATCGACAGTGTCTCGGTAATAATTTGTTTGGAATGTGGGTCGTCGTTGGTTTCTCCTTGCTGAGTTTAAGATGACGTCAGTGCAGATGTCTTTTATTCAACACAATCAGCCGAGATAGGACAAACATTGACCGTAACTCATGGGGATCATGTTCAGTAATTGAGGACTGAAAACCCAAATAATTAAACAAATATTAAAATATATATTTTTATCGGCAAAACTAAAAAAGAACTACAGTTGTCTTGGTGAAACAGTCAATTTCAACTATCCATTTCTTACCTTTAAATGAAAAAAAATAAAAAAATTAAATGATCATCAAGAAATATATTAATAGCCAATTTTATCAATCGCTTTACTTTATTCAAACCTGTTTTGTTGGCAGCTTCAGAGCTAAAAATGGTTGAAAATGTCAGTGTGGTTCGCTCGTAAAATCCTGTAGATGATACAAGCAAATATGGTTCTGTGAACCAGGTCATGTTTCGATCAGGTGACTTTCATCCAATCTGATTAAAATCTGATGTAGTGTACGGGCTTTAATTATTTTGGCTATAAACTTATTTTAATTTTATTTTTTATTAATTTTGTTATTAATTTATCTCATTATTTTACTTTGATTTTGATTTTGTGATTTTTTTTAATTCCGCCCTACCTACATCTGATCCGACGCCTATGTAACGAGATTTCAACGAGACCCACTATCGACGATTTTAGTCAACGAATCACATACCTCCTTCTATAGCGCACATGATGACGTCACCGGGTGGCAAACACACTCAAATAAAATGGCGGATTGTACCAACGTTAGCGACCGTGAATAACACGGCTTTTCGGTAAGTTTATCATTGTCAAATGCAATGAAAGTCATTTTTATGTTAATATTGTGACTCGAATGTTTCGACTTTAGATCGTTATTCCGCATAGTTATTCTGGGAGTGTTGATTTTGTTTCCACCGGTTCGACCGAACACCAGTGTCTTTTTCCAGTCGCCTGCCCTGGAGACGGGTGATGTTTTGTTGACGATCGGGCCAAATCGTCTACGGTATTGAAGCTGTAAATATTCATCAAATTGTATCAACATTTTGTACATTATAC